TTAATAAGAGGGTTACTTTTAGGGAAATGTTTATCAAGAAAATGGAGGAACTTCTGGCCTAACTTAGTACTGACCAACTGGTTAAATGGGGGGGTGTACCAAATGATTTTTCTGTTTCTTTTCTTTAGACCACTATCATCATATTTTCTATACTCAATTTCAGCATACTTGTAACCAGTCAGTTATGTGCTATGTGTGATACACACATAGGTGATCATTTATCTTTCGATACGTGACTGACGCGGCAGATTTTTTTTTTTTTTTGCAGTATGTTGCCATTTCTTTCTGCAGTAGACCAATTGCCATCCAAAGCTATAGAACCCAGTCTGTCCTGCTATTTACCCATAGCTGGGGGGAGAAGAGGAGGATTCATACCTTTTCCAACGGTATTAGCACATAAGTGAATGTAATGGATCTGACTGGAATTTGAACTTGGCTCTCTGATTCCTCAATCCGTGCCGCTATCCATTACTCCACCAAAACAGTATTATAAGAACCATTATATTTATCAAACATTTTTGTCAGATGACTGGTTGCTAATCCTACGTTCTATAGATGAAGGTTTATGTTCGATTACAGATGGAGTGTTGTTAGAATTGGGGTGAATATTGGGTTGGTATTAATCTTCATATAAGGTTGGAATATACATAAGGCAATTTTTTAGTAATTAATGGATTTTTTTCCCATAGTCTCACATTATTTCTTATCACTTACACACTATATTTAATAGATATATGTGTTTTCGTAGATGTCCATGTTTTTTAAACAGTATCTTTTTCCTCTGCCATCTATGACATCAGCCCAAAGTCCCTGAATAAAATTCATTTTTTTTTTTTAAATTTATTTTTATTCATTATAATGCTTAATATATAAACATCTATGTTATAAAAATACAAAGGTTTGATATTATCTAGTCAGGTCAATATCCACATTATTTACACTACAAATGGTCTATTGCCCTCATTTTTATCACATTATATCATCTATGGGACAATATCCTAGTGCATTAAAGTGTCACTGGATCTATCCTCAATGACACATGGCACAGTGGATAAAGGCGTTGGTTAGATCCTGTGACAGGACCCAAAGAGTGTGAGTTCAATACCCAGTTAAGGCAGTGGAGAACTTTCAGAGGGAAAATTAACAGGAGATAACTGATAACTGACACCCATCAAACATGGTATATGGAACTAGAACAGTCTGCCCCAGTGATCGAAATAAAGGGTTCAGTTTGAAATTCCAACCACCTGAAGAAGGCCGGAGCGTACAACAGCCAAAACGTTGTGATAAATAGGGCGACAAAGATGAGGACAATAGTCCGAATAATGTAAATAATGTACAATTGTATTAGTTTTTAGAATGTGGTATAAAATTGTAAATTCTAAAGAGCAGAAAATGTCTAAATTCACTTTCATATCTTTAGGTTTTATTACAATTCTAATTGCTTTTTAAAACAGTGATCATTGCTGAGGAGTGAAGGTAGTTAAAATAATAGCAGAGTTGAAAGAAGAAAAAAAACATCCATTTGACACTCCATTTTTTTCATGGACATGAAGGTCTAAGTTTGGCAGATTTTACTTTTTACTGAAAAACATTTATTTTATTTCTTCAAGGTCTTGTTATAGTTTGACTCATTTTCAAACCATGCTGTTTATTGACCCCCCCAACCCCCCGTTTATTACCGCCCACATTTATTACATTTTCTAATTTTTTTCCAACTATTAAGACCCACAGGTGTACGGATATATCAAATGCCTCAGAGAGTTGAAAGTCCCTCCCTTACGTATTACTCCTTGGAATGTCAAAAGAGAGGTACCCCTGTCATGAAGGGTGGGGGGCATCATGAAAAAAAAAAGACCTTTGAAGATAAGACTTGACATAAAAAAATTTTACGCTTGTGCAACCTGGATCTATTAATACAATAATTTAAGAAGCAACTTTAACTTTACACTGAAATAAAGATATCCCCCCAGTTAAGCAAATTATGGCATTACATAATCTTAAATGAATTGAAATGCTATTAAAAAAAAAATATTGAAGAAAAAATATTACCAGAAATAGATTTTTTGTAGGAAAAAAATTTTACCAGCAATAAAAATCTTGTCGGCATTAAATAACCCACTGAGGTTGATATGCTGCAAACCAAATATGGTGAACAGCCCTATAGAAGCAAGCAGACCAGAGTGGCTTGCATCTAGTGTATAGGAAAATAAGGGTCTTACCTTAATGTGTGGCATATGACATCAGGAAGTTTGCTTCATGAAAATGGCATTACTCTCCTGTCCAGCCATTCTAGCAGTATGTGCAGTGATGTGGGTTTTTTTGTTCAGTTTGGCATGCTTCCACCAGTAGCAAGTTGTGTGCTGATTGGTCGAACTGGAGGAGGCAATTTGCCTGTGTAACTGAGAATAACAGCAAAGAACGCTGATTGGCTGGTGAACCGCGGTGTTGGCCTGATAAAAGAGTGTTGGAGCAGCGAAAACGAGGTTAGAAACGATGGCTATACGTAGTGACGTGTTAAGAAAGCGAGGACGGTGAATTGAACCAGTGATATTTTGATTTGTACAAGTGACATTGCAGCAATACAGACTTATTTAAACTACACCAAACCAAACCAATATTTTTTGTTGTTGCTGTTGGAAGTCTCCAAGTGATATAGATTTTGTTATTTGGTAAAGCGCTTTGTGGTCCTTGAGCACCAGTCTATAAGGTCTGATGAATCTTCTTTCTATTTCTAGGATTAATTCCTTTGAAACCATTTTTAACTGTTGTTGTGAGAAAATGGTTATATATAAATGATAGCTTAGATATCTCTGAAGGAGTTTCATGTCATACATGACATCCATCTAAGAGTCTAGATGTAACGATGCTATTTAAGTACATGACTGAAGTTAATATTTATCTTTGTAACATCAAGAGCAGTGATTCCCAACCTTTGTTACCCAATGCACCCTGTTGGCCATAAGTCAGAATGTCACCCCCAACTTTTCCAAGATTGTCCGACTCAAAAGGAGCATTCCAAATATTATTGAAAAATCTTCGTTCTTTTCCATAATTAGTATAATTACATTTATGAGGATTAATTTTATAGTGGAGTTTTACAAATTTAATAGCAATAGAAAATGTTGATGGATTTTTAAACTTGAGTACATGTGCAGTAATGTGTTTTAATTCGTAACTAATTATTAAATAAATAAACTGAAGCATACTTCTAGAATCAAAATGTTTGATAGAATGCCAGGATATTGTAATTCAATAAATAAAACGTTTAATAAATGGTCAGCATATTTAGATTGAATTTATTCTTATGAAGATTATAGCCAACTAGCAGGATGGCCCGGCATTGCCCATGCTTGATTCAAAAATCATACGACTCATACAGCAATCACTATCACTTAAAATATTTTTGCCCTTCCTTGCCTTTAAAGGAGTGCCCTTTGCAGTGCTGATGTTGCTGCATGCCTTACTTCTTGCCTATCTCACACTGCAAATTTTTTCTAAGCTCTATACTAAACATTAAATCTGTTAAAAAAAAAAGAACTAAACAAAATGAACACAAAACGATCAGTTTTAAAAAAGGACTCATAACTGGAAAAACTGAATGAAAAAAGAATGTTAACAACAAATACTTTATCACACCCAACCCAGTTCTGTGGAATCAGAATCAACGTTGAGTTTAAGCAAGTGAATGAGCCATTTGGAGTAAAGTGCCATGCAGATTTAAATTTTTCCCACTTGTGACGAATGCAGCTATCGATTTTTTTGCATGCTAGCATGCTAGTTAACATTCGTGTCAGTCAGCTGTTGGCTCTCACGCTGGCCAATAGAATCTTCCTGGCTATTCGTGGCAGCCAGCTATAGGCTCTCGCTAGTAGAAAATGGCGGCAAACTACATGAAAACTGCCAAAGAATCATGAAAAAATCGATTATTTCCACTATCGATGGGAGTTGGGAAATGCTAGGTCAGTCTTGGCCTTCCCGCTAACTTGGAGCATGTGCATGTAAATTTTGGTGCAAATCCATGAAAAATTGCGGCTGTGCATTCATTAGACACACACACACACACACACACACACACATCCTGCCTTTTATAGATAGAGATGAGAAACCTGTGAAAAAGTAAAAAAGTTTTCCTCCCCACCCTTAAATTCCCTGCCTTGGAGGGGGATTTCCACCCTGGTTGAGGAACCCCCTAGCAGCAACCTATCCTGTGTTGTATTTTCTTAATGCGCAAAACTTCAATATTCTTATTACTTTCAAATATTTATCTAATTTTTAATGAAATTTTCTTTTTTTTCAATTTTTTTTCAGATTTTAACCAGTGTTCTTTGTTTATTTAAAAAACAAATCTAACACCATATCTTTGCTGATTTGAAAGTCACAGTTCCTGCTCGTATTATCAGGACCAAGTCGGGGAAACGGTGAGAAGGATTTAGCAAGTGCAAGTTTTATTCCAGTTGGTACATTAGTTGTGAAAAGAGTCTGTCACCCATATGTCTCAGGGAAGCCAACAATTATCTTGCAATGCTTTGTGGGTACTGCACCAAAACGGTAATTGTCCAAGCTACAGTCTTGTGTGTCTCTATTCCAGATGATGCATCAGTGGAGCCAACGGATTCTTCATCATTCACTTTATTGAGAAAATCACAGTTCAAAGCCTCTCTGAATAAATCGTATCATGCATTCTTTAAATAAGGGTTTCCGGGAAAAGAGGAAGTTTTCTGAGGAAATTTCATGATGGTTTTCCGAAGTGGTTGCAAAAACTGAAAAAGACAAGAAAAAACACTTAGTGTCTCCTTTTTCCCAGTTGTAAAATCCCTTAGCTTTCAAGTGGAAACAAATACAACTTTTATTTACTATCAACATCTGAGTGCTTGAAATGGTCCATTTTCTGCACCCTAAGTGAAGAAAATAAATTTTTTCATATTGCCTGATATTGTAAATTAATCATTGATAAACAATCTTAGGAATTAGTTGCACCATCTTTCTTGACGAGAAACATGGATGGAAACAAACAAGAAATCCACTGTATGGCTTTGTCCCGCAAACAGTTTCTTGGGGTTAACACTGTAAACACTACTGCACTGGCAGTTGCTGCAGCCCCCAAACAGTTTTTGTCAGCTGCTGCTTCAGCCATGCCAACATGTTTTCCACAGCTTCCTGCAGTCCCACTAATCCCAACCAACTGTGCCAATCCTGGAACGTTTAATTTCAATTTTAACTTTGGACAAACCCCGAAAAATACGGAAGCGTCTTCACCAGTTGTCATGACAGCAGCCGGATCAGATCTTGTCCCTCCTAAAACATCACCCAGAACATCAACGCCAGGTAACACAACTGAAAAGCCATTCAAATGCAATATGTGTGGCCAGCAGTTTGCCCGAAGGGACACGCTACAATGCCATCAACGGACACACACGGGCGAGCGTCCCTATCCTTGTGACACATGCCCATTACGATTCGCACGGCGTGATACTCTTCAGTGCCATCGTCGGACACATACTGGTGAGAGACGGTTTGCATGCGATATCTGTTTGCAGAGATTCGCACGACGTGATACTCTACGCTGCCACAGACGGACCCATTCTGGGGACAAGCCATTTGCTTGTGACCTGTGCATTCAGCGGTTTGCAAGGCGGGATACACTGCAGTGTCACAGACGCACACACTCTGGAGAGAAGCCGTTTGTTTGTCAGTATTGCAATAAACGATTTGCACGAACCGATAAGCTGCAGCGTCATCGCAGGACGCATTTGCGCGGTGCCAATAATATCAATGTTGTCAGCAATAGCAGTAACAGCTCTGCTAATTGCAACGGTTGTGTCCGAAGCCCTGATGCCAATTTGAACGATAACCGTGCTCCTTCCGAGGGTAATGCTAACAACCAAAACTCTCAACAAGGCAGCAGTAGTGGAAATAATACTGTAACTACCACCACCAACAACAACAACACTAGTGTCACCACAAGCAACAACAACAACAACAACATTGTTTCTCCTGTCTCCCCCTCAGTTACTACCACCACCATTAACCAAACCAATCATACCACTACACATTCAGTTCCCTGTAGCAGCCAGCATCTTCACTCCAACAGTAACGTTACCATGGTAACTCCACATCACCATTCTCCCCATCCACCCCAGATGCCCCCAACATCATCTGTTGTTTCCATGAGCTCGATGTATCCACAGACTACGGGGGGGTTTATACCCCCATCTCTACCAAAAACAGACAGGTTCCCTGCAAACATGACAAACCAACTTTGGCAAATTTTCTACTGATATAATTTTAATTATTTATATATTCCAGTCACACACACACACACACATACCAGGTATAACAGCAAAATTGCCCAAATTGTGTAACAGCAAAACTGTCCAATTGTTAGATTAAGCTTTGAACCGTTATATCTTAGAAATGATTAAAGATATCTGACTGGAGTTCTCAAACGTTTTTATAACACTATTAGACCCTACTTTGAGCAATAAGAATGTATTTTAGCTCTAAGTTGTGGATGATGACCCTTCTTCCTGTTGTGACCTCCTGATCCAATTTTCCCTTCTACTGTTCCCTCTTTTTTTAAACTTATTCACCGTTCTCTTGATGATCCTTGAATGAACTATGAAGATGGAAGCCAGAGTATGAATGTTGGTACCATTACAGAAGGCCTGAATGATCTTTTTCCTCTCACCATTGCTCAGTTGGGAAGACATAGTGGGGCTGACACAAAACGATTTTAACCTGTTCTTTTTCTAGCTGAATAGCTCAAAGGGTTCTTCAGTGATTCTTACAGCAAATGGTGTCAAGATGGCTAAACATCGGAAAAGCTGGAAAGATGTTAACTCAATTAGTTTAGTGGTTTTTTAGATATTAAACATTTTGTGGGATGGACAATTATCCCTCGCTGTTAGACAATTTGGGCAATTTTGCTGTTACACAAGGTATATATATATATATATATATAAAGAAAAATATATACGGAAAAAACAAACAAAAATCCTTATATGCAATTAAGCTGTTTTAATGTTAATATGTCGATGTCTGACGTTTCGGTCTAATAAACCATCTTCAGGACATATTCATAAAATATAATTAACATTATCAATTCAACATGACAATATATATAATGTTAATTATATTTTATGAATATGTCCTGAAGATGGTTTATTAGACCGAAACGTCCGACGTTGACATATCAACATTAAAACAGCATAATTGCATATAAGGATTTTTGTTTGTTTTTTCCGTATATATTTTTCTTCATACTGTCGGATCTATATCCATATATTTGCTTACATATCTATATATATATATATATATATATATATATATATATATATATATATATATATATATATAATTTCAAACATGTTTGGTTAAATAATATCAAGTTCTGTCTATTAAATCTTTTATTGAAGTTTTCAAATTTTTAATAGTTTTGTGTTATCAGTAAATTAAAAAACAAAACAGAACAAAACACACAAACATTTCAGTTTGACA